CTGTGAATACTTGGAAAATCGTTTGCCCAAATATTGACCCCCCCCGTCAAATCACTCTCCCAGAAACAATGGGACGAGCCGTTCTGCAGAAAAGTGAGCGAAAATGTCTTGAACTCCTCTTGTTCAACTGCAGAGAGAGCTCGCCTTTTGGCTGTGAGTGGAGTGGAGTCGGGGTTAGGGCTTCTTGCTTTACCTTCGTCTAACCTAGGTGGTGTCGGTGGTGGTAACGTGGTGTCGTCCAACAAAGTATTGTTGGACGACACCACGTTCCGCGCTGCAATTTGTTTAAGGCTTGGAGCTTCATTTTGTTCACCTCATCGTTGTCGTTGTGGTGAAGATGTCAACAGCCTTGGACACCACGGCTTGTCATGTAGCCGTATTGCGGGCCGTTTGCTCGACACGCAAGTATTAATGACATAATTCGTCGAGCTCTTGCCTCCGTTGGCGTGCCAGCTACTTTAGAACCTAATGGCTTGGTACGCGACGGTGGCAAGAGAGGGTAGGGCTTTAGTATGGGACGCCACTTGCGTTGATACTCTCGCGCCATCCCATCTTCCAAGCTCAGCGTGTCGAGCCGGTGCTGCTGCTGCTGCTGCCGAGAACCTCAAACGGCGAAAGTATAATAGCCTGATTGGCAATTATGCTTTCGAACCGTTTGGGGTTGAAACTTTAGGGCCGTGGGGCCCAAGTGCACATCTTCTTTACAAAGATATTGTAAGGAGGATGGTTGACACTTCAGGTGATCGAAGGGCTGGCTACATCCTTGGGCAATGGTTAAGCATTGCCATTCAACGTGGCAATGCTGCCAGTCTTTTGGGTACCCTACCTCACGGTAGCGATGAGGGAAATGTTTTCTTTAATGCCTTATGATATATTTTTATTATTATTTTTCTTTAAGGTGTAAATATTTTAGTTTTCAATTATTCATATTTTAAGTTGTATATATTAATATTCGATAATAACTTATGTACTAAAATATAATAAAAACAAGCTACTTGGCATATAGTTTTGAATAAAAAATAAAAATGTAATAGTACCAGGACTTAAGAGGTAAATTAATTACTGTTTTCGGCTTACTCACGTTACCAACAAACAGTTATCTGTTTGTTTGACGACAGCTGAGCGGTGAAACTATGTAGCTATAGTCAAGATATTCCAAGAGACGAGGCAATTATCTGAACCTTTTTTGAAGATGTTGGATTAATTTCTCTGGCTCGCCTTTAATCTTACTTTTCAAAAACTTCATTTTTTGAGCGCTTGATATTAGCCACAAACCACATTTTCCGGTTAATGTCCCTTTTCAGTGTTTTGAGGGGTTTGAGGTCTGTCCGCGGAGGGTTTATAATTCTGAAAGGCTGTTTTAATGTTGCTATATTTCACCTTCATCTGTTCGTACTGATCGGTAGTGAAATACGCATGAGATCGATCACCAAAGGACAAAAAAATCATGTGGTTGTTGTGAAACTCGGGAAAATATTGTTCTAGGTTTTCTAATCGTCGACGTAGGTAGTCAGGGGACCTTCAACGATTGGCTGTAGAGTAGCCAAAATGTCTTCCATTGTAGCCCACTCCCATTGGAGACTCGCCAACTCACCGACCGGGCCCCGGGAATGGTTACTAGATATAGCAACAGAGGGGCAACGAGAATGTGAGTGGCTGAAGGGTTAAGAAACTACCACCGCTTTCTACTCAGATCATCTGCTCCAGCCGAAGCCTCCTGCATCCCTGGCCCACTCGCGACTTACGAATAGTTTCTTACCCTCCGAGCAGGATCACTGCTCTCGCGACTCCACTCTGGACGGCCAATGAAGGCAAGCCAGAGTTGGGAGACCTGTTCCTTGTCATCGTTCACTCCAGCCAGGCAATTAAGGCAAGCCGGAGAATAAGGAACGGTGACTTCTCCCTGGAGCACTCGGGATGATGGTAGCCCGCGGGGTCGCTAATGCCCGTCACCTCGCCTCAAGGGGGACCTTGCGGGCTTATTATTATTATCATGTCTTCGTGCAAACTCCTATTCCCCAAAAGGCCGGTAACGCACTTGTAACGCCTCTGGTGTTTCAGGTGATCCATCTGCTCGTTGACCGGCTTATGCCATAAAAAAAACACACTGTCATAAATTGAATGTGATTTCAGATTATACGTTATCGATTTGGAGGTATATACTCCGTTAAGTGTGGAGGGTCACTCGTGACCGAGCGATACGTATTGTCTGCAGCGAGATGCTTCGTTTTTTCGTAAGTAGAGACTTATTTTGAGATTACAATTTTGAAATGAAACTATTATAAAATTAGACTCGTATAAATTCTCGCAACAGACTAAAACCCACTTTTTATATAGACAATTACCGCTAAAACAAAATACTTCATGTTGACACAAATAATCTCATAGATGGCGCTAATATATGTTGTTACATAACTTCTATTAAATTTTAACGTTTTGAAATGAAACCTTAGCAATATTTTTTTGTTTGTTTGTGTTTATTTTGTATAATTCGACAGCGTTTGTGGGGTGCCGATTATGACGATTCTTTTGATTTTGTAAAATAAGGATCTATGATCTATCTGTCCTATATTATTAATGTACCAATGCTTATTTTATTACTTTCTTCTTTTTCTTATCTTTATTTTGATAAAATAATGTGTATTAAGTAATTGTATTATTTTCCTGGTCGTCATATCATAGTTTTCGTTGCTTCCGTCCGTGCGTCACTGCAAAGGTGCCAACTGACAACTAGTTCACGAGAGCTTGCGCTTTCGCTAAATCTGTCCCAACTAGCCCAGGGTCCAAGGTGTAACGTTGATACGCATACTGTAAATCGCTTAAACCTTCTGCTGACAACTAATCCAGACCTCTATTCGGTGTCTGTGTCATCCAACTTTCGGTAGCTTTGACCACTGTCTGGTGAAATCTACATATATCCGTACAGGTAGGGATATGATAAGGAGTTCAGGCAGTTAATAGAAATACCTGAACTCCTTCTATCTACAGTGACAGACGACAGATTGTTGGGATATTAGATGTGCTGATGCATATATATAGAGGGTGGCCCAAGTAGTCACTACTTGTATTATTGTGACCTTTGCATATAACTGCAACAATACGTCCGTACTCAAGCCTCGAGTCTCGCAGTTGCTTTGAATCCTGGGTCACTCAAGGAGTGCGGGTGTGTAAAAATGGACCTGCGCAACTCCTTTCGTCCGAAAGGTCTTGGTGAAGGACGGCAAACATCGCAGTACGGCTGGCTACTTGAGCGGATATACATACTTTTTGCAGGCGCTAAGATTGTGTCTCCGGATAACAGGTGCTTCAGTTCTGGGTCGCCATGTTGAACAGCGGCGATCCTCCTAGGTGGCACAAGTTGACTAATCTCCTCAACGCACGAGAGTGTATCTGTCACTACCTTATTTTCCCGTAGACATGCCTGTCTGTCTAACTAATTGGTACGCCGGAGAAACTACTTTCTCTATGAGAGTTGAAAGTAAATACATTAAAGGCGTATGATTAGTGTAATTGATGAAATTATAGGCTTAGTAGTGCGCGATCGTAAAGAGATTACTTGACCTGTGTCGGACTCAAGTTACGGAAAACGAATGCCAAAGGCTCCCATGCCCCTTGGTACAGTTGTTGCAGGACTGCTGCGATTACTGTGTCAGACGCATCTATAACCATCGCCATCTGAGCGCTGCAATCCGAATGAGCCGGTAACGCCGTTGTGCAAAGGCTATTTTCGCACTGTTCGAATGCCATACGTTATGTAAGGAAAGTGTATGTAATAGTCGTAGCAATTGGCGTTCCATAGTATTTGCCTACCCCATGAGAGACAAGCGTGAGGTTATGTACGAATGCCCTTCAACTAATCAGTAAGAATAGCATTGAGGAGCGATTGCAAGGTAGCTACTCCAGAAATAAACCTATGGTGAAAGTTAAGCAGCAAGAAATCTCCGTAGCTATCTCGCGGTGGTTTTGGGTGCGGGAAAAATTTGAATCGCGTCAATTTTGAAAAGCACCGGCTATGTACCCTTGGTTGAAATGTGGTAGCCCAAGAGATTGAACTCCGACACTCCAAAGACACACTTATTACTGTCAATGACCATAAGTCGCAACTTCATATTGCGGTCAGCACAACTAATATGATAATGTGTATTTAAAGGAGCGGATTATACATAGATCCCCCAGAACTCAGAGTTCGTGTCGGCTCAACCCGCATACAAGATTCAGGTTAGTTTTTTATGTTTTTTTTTCTATTTATTTTTTTAAGGGGGTAAATCATCGAGTGACTGCTCCCGCCTGGGTGAGGCGGGAGGGAATGTCAGACCCTTACTGACTAAAAACCACCCCGTTCCTTCTCCTGCGCTTCGAGCCGGAGCCCCGGTAACCCGTTAGGTACTCCGCGACTCCGAATCGGCATCAGCCCTATTGGGCCCCATCTGTGGTGGTCTGATGGCTCTTTGAGCAACGCGCGGAAGGCGACGCGCCGTACGCTCGAGTCTGTTTCTAGTCGGACGGGGAGCCACCCATGCTCGCCGTCCGCAGGCCCGCGCTTACGCTGGCCGGAGATCGTCCCACGATCTCCGACGCCCGGAGTGTCCTTCGTGATGGCTGGGTTGCGAGGAGGCAGCGCTTCGCTGCCTTACGCGTCCCGCCTCCTCCTTAGCTAGCATGACTGCTTCGCAAAAGGAGGCGACGGCGGTGACGCTCCGCATTATGACCCGCACTAGGGCCAGACGCGAGAGGTCACCATCGCCGATCACGTCCCTAAGGGCACGGCGCGCGGCGATGCTCAGCCCACGCAGGGCATTCCTCCGCTGTGTGTTCCACCGTGAGTTTTTTATGGTATAAGGCGGCAATTGAGCACACGGATCACCGATCACCATGATGGTAAGCAATCAGCGCTGCCAATGGAGACTCGTAACACTGCCCGCAAGTGGTTACAAGTGGCATGGCCGGCGATTTGGGGACCAGGAATGAGGAAGGGCGGTTTGACCTTTCGGCCGGGGAAAATGCCGTGCATACCCGGCTTCGTGGGGCTGAGGCCGGGTTATGTGGGGCTCGGACCCACTAAAAACCCCGGGGTGTACCAGTCGCGCATGAGGGCGGGCCACGAGAAGTGTACCTTCGTACTGCGCTCGCGACCCGCCCTGAGGGGGGGGGGGGATTTGGCCTGTGCTAACCGATACACAACGGAAGCATTGAGAATTATACTCGCACTTAGTTGGAAAATGCGTTTTTTACCAGACTTGATATACGAGACTGTCAAACAATATTAATCGTTGTTTTATCAAAGGTGGAATACGTCATGAAGTATCGGCAATAATAGTCCACGAGAACTACCGCAGATATGACAATGACATAGCATTAGTACGGACCAAGAATCCAGTCTCCTTGGGTCCCACCATCGCAATTATCAATATACCGCAGCAAGAAGTGATGGTTCCCGACAACGCTACTGTCACAGTTATTCGTTGGGGTTCTGCGGTACGGTACAAATGACCAATGTGTAGCTGCTTGCGAACATCTCGGAAATATCACACCTGAAAAGACACATCTCTTCTTGTATTCAAGACGATTATAAATATTTATATATTTATAATTATATACGCCGCGACTGCAGACGAGCGGTTTGCGAACTTCTCGAGAATGGTTCGCAAGCAGGTACTATTGAGAATAGTGTAATCAATAAACTGATCAATTAAATATTATTATTATTAATGTAGATTACGTTAAAGTGCGGTACCCATGAAGATTAGTTAGCACACATTCGTATAACTTTCAAAACGAACATTTTGAAAGTTTCTTCATTAAAATTAGGCCGACTCATATCAATTACAGGATATTAGGCACAAGAATTGGCTTTATTTTATTTTTTACTAGGAAATGGAGTACCAAAATTACGAAATAAAAAAATAAAAATATCGACATAACAAACAGGCCATCGCACACCTAACAAGCATGGCCGCCAGCGCACCTGCCGCGAGGTGGAAGCGCGCGGCCAGCGCCGATGCGACGTTTCGCTGGCGTCTTTCACCTGGCGGGCGGCTCGCTGTCGGCGTCGGGTGCGCCGGGGCCGCTCTTACTCCTCGCTGTCGGCTCGGTGCCGTGTCGGTGAACTGCCGGCGCGCCGTAAGAACGCGGCGCCTAAACTACAACTCGAGAGGACGCGTGCTGACCACCTGCCTTCCGCTTTTTGTATTGACGTTATGAAATATATCATACGACATACGATTTAAGTTTATTTAAATTGACAAGCTAATTGCTGGGTCGGAGCCGTGCCGGAGGCGTGTTTGTTAGATGTGCGTTGAACTTAATTCTGAACTCAACGGTTGTAGGTACGTTCAAGGCGCCAGAGAACCGCCGCGACTTCCTCCTTTTTAGAGAATCTCTTTAAACGTAAACGCAGCGCTGCGCGCACTGCTTGTGTTCATGTACAGTTCCAAATTATAGAGGTAAATCATATCTTTTTCCTATTGTAATCTCTACAGGGGAATAAATATAAACAAGGTGCGCTACACGAGGTGTCCATTAAGAAGGTCAACTGGCAGCGATGTAAGAACATATACTCGAATTCTACTAATATTACAATCACCGGCAATATGATCTGCTGCGATGGAGAATTAGGATATAGTAAGTTTAGTTTTAGTTTTTCTTGAAACTTATGAAAATAATGAACTTTTGGGGTATGTTAGAAGAATGGAAGGAAGAAGAAATATAAACTCGTCAAAACCAAACAGGGCCCGCCCTGTTTTAGGCTTTTATCAATAAGCATTAAGCATTAATTTGTTTCTAGTTTTTAAGATGGATATATTTAGACTAGATTATTAGGCATTGTTTAGACTTACTCTGACTCTAAAATTATTTTTTTTTAGGATTACCTACCCTGAAAATTGACTTTTTGGGGAAAATGCAGCAAAATAACGAAAATGAAAAAATTAATCTATTTTCTTTTTTTTTTGTGACTATTGTTTAAATATTTTTATGTTTTGTTAGTGAATAGGACGTTCTTTACTCTATAGGCACTATTTGAGTCTATCTGTTACACTTTTAATGCGATGGGTGATCATTTCGTCCGATAACTTTTCCCAACAGACAGGAATTCATAAACACGGTTAAGCGTGTGCGTGTCGATTGTTTATTTGACTTTAAGTACCTTTTGCGGTGAGATGGTGTGCATGGACTTTTTTGTGTGTTCCAAAATTCTTGTTGAGTGTCGTAGCAAAATTAATGGCGTTTCTTTCTTTGTTTTAGGCTTCTTTTTAGTTGATCCTGTTGTATATTGAGTCTGTGGTTGATTTGTAATTAATCTGTTGTATTGCTAAAATAAATGGTTTATGCTTCGATTTCGAATTGTGTGTATCTTTTATTGGTGACTTCGGTAAATTAATGGAGTTCTGGGGGCCACATATGTTCAGGTCACACTGGGCAACAAGGAGGCTCAATGTGAATTATTTGTGGTGTCAGGAGAAGGACCTAGCCTTCTGAGTCAAAGTTGGTTTAAAGCTTTAGACCTGCAAGTAACTGGTATCTGTTGGACACAAGCGGAATTTACTAATGATTTATTGAAGAAGTTTCCTGAGTTATTTAAGGATGTTTTGGGAGAGTACAAGAGGCCGAAGGTGTCCATGCATCTACGTACAGATGCCACGCCGCGTTTTTTAAAGGCTCGTCCGGTACCATTTCCACTAAGGAAACAAGTTGAAGAGCAATTGATGCAGATGATTAATGATGGAATATTAACTCCTGTAGGATACTCTAAATGGGCCACGCCGCTAGGGATTGTGAAGAAAGACGATGGTTCTCTTCGTATCTGTGAAGATTATCGGTCAACTGTCAACATGGCAATCGATGTTGATACATACCCCTTACCTGCAGCCACGGAGAGTTTTGTAAAGCTCAGTGGGGGGTGAATCTTTAGTAAATTGGACTTGAAACAAGCCTATATGCAATTGAGGGGAGATCATGACACAGCTATGCTGCTGACACTAAATACGCCTCTAGGACTCATGAGGATGAACAGACTAGCCTTTGGAGTGAATGCGGCACCTGGTATTTTTCAGAGAGTTATGTCATCGGCGCTAGCAGGAATGCGTGGCGTAGCATGTTCGTTGGATGATATTGCTGTGTCTGGGAAGACATCAGAGGAACATGATGCAAGGTTACAGGCAGTTTTACACAAATGAAATGGGTCTCAGATTAAAATTAGGTAAATGTGTCTTTACTTCAAACAGTATTAATTTCTTGGGACATATGATTGACGCCGACTACATCCATGCCCCAATAAAGTCAAAGAAATTAAGGAAAAACCAGCCCCAACAAACTAGCAGACTTTGTGTGCATTCCTAACTTCTATGAAAAATTTTTGCCTGACAAAGCAACTTGTTGGAACCTTTGTACCGTCTTCTAGGGACTAAGAAGCCATGGCGTTGGGGTCAAGTTGAGCAAACTACATTTGATAAGGCAAAAGACCTATTGGCTTCTGATTTGACATAAAGTAGACCGAGAGTTATTGCTTATTTGTGATTCATCGACTATGGACTATACTCGGAATTTTAATTCGATTCCAGATTTGACAATTTCAGTGTTGCAACGTTATAACAAGTACTAAATAGTGACGTTGCGAAATTATTCGATATGGAAATGCAATATTTCTGGATCGATTCTTCTTGTTTATAATTTTACTCTTGTAAACTAAGTATATCAGGAAATTAAATATTTCTGAACCGATAATTTAGTTTTGACGATTAATTAACGATCTGAGACTTTTCTTTTATAATTGTGTGTGAAATAAATAAAAAAATGTAATCATGAAGGAACATGACAAATAAAACAGATAGATGTATTATGGTAATAAGTTATTTTATAAATTGTCGCCGTCATCGCTATCGCTATCCTGTCACTTTCTGTAACATTTATTATAAAACACACACACTGATTGTTTATCGATTTTTGTGTTCATCACTACACTATTATATGTGGTATCATTATTTCACAAAATGACAGTAGCTATTGTCAAATCTGGAATCTAATTAAAATTCTGACTATAGGAGCGGTGATAGTATGTGTGATGGCTTCACGAACTTTACAACCTCATGAAAGAAGATATGGACAAATAGATAAGGAGGCTTTGGCAATCATGTTTGGATTAAGGAAGTTTCATGAATTACTATCAGGTCGTCCATTTTGTATTGTAAATGACCACAAACCTTTGGTGAGTCTTTTTGACCCTAGTAAACAAATTCCTGATCAGATTTCACCCAGAATGTTACGATGGTCTCTGAAACTGGCTGGAAATAACTACCAAATTAAGTACAGAGCTGGAAAATTGATTGGCAATGCAGATGCATTTAGTCGTTAGTCGTTGGACTGAGTTAGAGACCTCGGAAATATCAGTGAAACCTCTCAGAGATGTATTATTATTGGAGGAACGACCTGACGGCTGGAACTTAGATGTTTCCAAATTAGCTGCAGAAACCGGGAGAGACCAGGTGTTAAAGCGGGTTTTGTTTAACATACTTCATGGCTGAGACAGACACCACCCTACAGCCATATTGGACACGCAGAGATGCTCTTTCACACAATAAAGAATGTTTACTGTGGTGCAACAGCGTCATTATTCCTGCTAGTTTACAACAAGAAGTACTTTGATTATTGCATGCACCGCATGCAGGTGTAGTCCAAACAAAGGCTTATGCAAGAGGATATGTATGGTGGCCAGGAATGGACATACAAATTGAGAGTGTGGTGAGAAGCTGTGAGGCATGCCAAGCTGTTAGAAATAATCCACCAAGAGATCAACAAGCCTGGATTGTTACTGAAAGGCCATGGAGCCGAGTACATGTGAAGTTTGCAGGTCAATTCCAGGGCAAAACATTTTTTGTAATGATTGACAGTTATAGTAAGTGGTTTGAAGTAAAGATTGTTTCTTCCATGTCTAGTGAGGTTGTGATAACAGTGTGTAGGAAGATATTTGCATCACAAGGCATACCTAATATTTTGGTGTCAGATAACGGCAGGGCATTTACTTCAAATGAATTTAATAAATTTTTGAGGAAGAATGGTATAAAGCATATGTACTCGCCGCCCTATCATCCGGGATCCTATAGAACAGTTCCTACTAGTTCGACTAACGAAACTCCGGCAGAGATGTTGAATGGACGTAAATATAGAACAGCTGTATCAAGTTTGCATCCTGATAATGTACCAAGTTCAAAGTAACAACAGCTAGAGGATTTTTTTTAAGGGGGGAAAATCATCGAATGACTGCTCCCGCCTGGGTGAGGCGGGATGGAGTCTCTTACAGACTAAAAACCACCCCGTTCCTTCTCCTGCACGTCGAGCCGGAACCCCGGTTACCCGTTAGGTTCTCCGCGACATCAGCTAGAGGATAGATCTTAACAACAGGCTGAAAGGAGATTTACGGTGGACCAGCCAGTTTTGATTCACAACTATGGACCAGGAGAGAAGTGGAATAGAGCCAATGTAGAGATGGCAGAAGGCCCTAGCTCATATATGGTGAGGGTGGAGGATGGTGAGCTACACAGACGTCACGCTGACCAAATACTAGCTCGTAGATTAACTCAACCGGCCAATAGACAAATAATGGCAAATCATTCAAGGTCAAGCTTTTGTTCACCAGAACCACCAATAGAGATACCTCCTCCTGAATTATAGCCAGACATCATTGGTGTACCAAATATAGATGGATCTTAGGTTTTATTTTATTTGTATGTGTTCTTTGAAAGTTATTGTTCAATTGTTTAAATAGTAGGTACTTATTTAGGTGATTACCTACTTAGCTGTTATTAATTATCATTTGATTTGGTAGCCTCAGTTGAGATAATATGATTTAATAATCATCATCATCACACTAATGTGTTGATTATGATTGTCACCTAACTATTATGAAGGAAAGGTATGTTGTATATTGAGTCTGTAGTTGATTTGTCTGTGGTTGATTTGTAATTAATCTGTGGTATTGCTAAAATAAATGGTTTATGCTTCGATCTGGAATTGTGTGTATCTTTTAGATCTCATAGATATTTAGTAGGTTTGAGACTAGGTCTCATTGCAGGCCACAGCACAACTCTAATGTTGGTGCCAGAAAGAGCTTATTTACTCATAGTTACTTATTGTTTATGGACGAGCATTGCATTCTATTAACACCAAACCAATTCCTACTTTTTATGAATATGGAATGTCATAAGTTCGGGTTACTTGTTCGATGTAAGTCTCAGCTGGTGCGGAACCGTTATTCAGAATTATCAGCTCTCGTTAGCTTACTAAGCGAATTCCGCTTAAGACCATTTAAACCAGAGAAACGGTTGGTTCCATGGGCACAAATCGTTCATTTGTTTGTTTTTCCATATTAGTATCCGTATGGAAATATTGAAAACCTAGACCTTTCTTTCATCTATAAAAAATAGAATGCTCCAGTATCAGGCTCAGTTAAAAAGTATCTGATTACTTCTTAAACGAGTGAACAGAAGTTCTTAAACAATGACAAATTGTTTTAGTGTCAGTAAATTATAGGAGAATGTGTGTAATATTAATTTTATGGAGGGGCAATAGTGGCTTCAACGGTTTTGTATGTTACATGTATGTTTAGTCTGTATCATCACTAATTAGTA